CAATTCGAAGATGTACAAGGTACAAAGTGGTGTTTAGAACAAACTGTTTACCGTGCGAAAAAAAATTTACACATTGTTTTTTCTGCTCGGGTTATGAAAGAGTATACCTGAATAGATTGTGGCAATTTAGCCTCAGGTTCTGTGGAAGGAGAAATCTTACTGTTAACAACTTTGCATTTAATCAAGAGAAAACTGACTTATAGCCAAGTAGTATCGAAATACATTTTCTTTTAAGTGGGCGGATAACATAGCGGTAGTGATGCCCGTCATCATGAGCACGGTGCCATTCCGATTCCGCTCCGGGCCAACCAAGCCTCTCATCCTCTCGGGGTCGGCAAACTGGTACCGGACTTATCTGGGAAAAAACCACTCTAAGCAATCCAATTGGGAACTCTAGAGCCCGGTCATCTCAGGACTCCAGGGAGAATCGACTCGACCAGCATTCTACCGTAAAAATGGGAAGACCTTCGTGGGTAATAGACGCGAGGAAACGAATCGAATGTGAGAAGTGCTGGAATCCACACAGTAGACGTGAAGACGAATCAAACAAAACAAAAAAGAATAAAAAAATATTTCCTTCTTGTTTCAGTTAGAAATCAAACTTCAATCGAACCCTCACCTGCGCTCATACAATTTGTCAAAAAATCAGCATTCGCGTTGTCCAAGTTTTCAGCCGTAGAAAAGACAACTAATGTGATCTCCTTTTTGGTCGGGCGTCCAAAAATCAGACCACCAATTTTAGAGTTGTTTCCGCTCCATGAACAAAGATTACGATAATTCTAAAACGAAATACTAAACCAATTAACCAATTGGCGGGCGGAAGGGAAAATGCGTAATTTCATGTCGTTATGGATTTGTTGGTTTCTCCACAACAGGCATTGATTTTCCTATAATTGGAGAACTTAAGGGGTTGGGACACCACGGAGAAGTATACATGGTAAATATGCTATTATTTAATATAAATTGCCTTCACTTATCATATAGCCACAACGTTGTCAACATTTTGAAACGTTGAAAAACCTTTTTTACTTGGATACTTGGACCGGCCGTCTTCACGAGTAGTACGAGCCCTAGCACACCTATTCCTTTCTTTCCCGCAATATAATAAAGTGTGGGAGGCACTTTCCATTAATCTTTTCCATCTGCAAATGTAAACTGTTGATATAATTCAACAACAGCTCTGCTCATCGCCTAGCAGGTCGACCAAGAGGACGATCGCGACGGCCCACCTGTGCTTGGCTACCCATGTATGTTCTCCTGCATCTCGAAGATGAAAGCTGCGCAAATAATTTGTGGCTCCAGCTCCGAGGAAGTCGGCGGTAACATTATCAGATCCTGGAGCTGTGCATCTTTTCACGCTTTCTATCCTAACCCAAAATTCAGAGTAGAATCACTGGTGATTCTACAGCAGCAAGATTCCTGAGTTCAAGACAACGACTTCGGAACGGAAAACGTTGGTATATGATTCTCCGGTTCCGATTCCATATGATGGCAGGATGTGAAGGTAGTCGCATCTACGTTCATCAGGGCTGACAGTGGAACAAGCTCACACAGGCCCGACGATGCTTCTTCAGGGTGGTTCGTTTTTGGGCTGTTCCGAATAATTTTTCGGCTTGAACCGATGTAAGATCTCTTGCGAAACTTTTCTACTACTTCTATACCTGCTATTTATTCTAGACCGTGCTAGGTGTGTTGCAGTAGGAACGAGTTACGATTTTCTTCATTTTTAATGCAACTCCTCTGTGATAATGAACTTGCGATCTGAACTTCTTGTTTGTGGAACTGGGGCTAGACACAAAGTCCTTTGACAAGCACTAGTTTTTGGTCGAGTTTTTCATTATCTGGCAGTCATACGAATATACGATTTCATTGGGAACACTGTCGTCATATAGAACTTGTTGTGTTCTTCCTAAACGAGGATAAGAGTTCTCTTCTACTTGTAACTGCAATGAATCTTCGCACGAAAGTGGTGGTCAGATCGAATACAGATTTGCACTTATTTTGAGCCTATTTCTATGCATTTTTAAAATCTGCCCATTTCGTACAACACCGGAATTGAAACAACACTCCAATAGCAGCTAAAATGCCGACCAATGAACTCCATTGAAAAAAACCGGCTTTTTATTAAATTCTCAAGCGCAGATTATTTCCACGCACCTCAAAAACGCCCAAAATACGATGAGTCATTTAAGATTCAGCTGGACCAGTTTTTTGGGCAATAGGTAGATCACAATCGACCCCTAGCCAGAAATAAACGTGGTCCAATTTTGGACACTTCTCAAAAGCATGTAATCAAAAAACGATTACCTGGAACATTAGTTCCGAATTTATCGTCCACTTTTCTTTCATAGTAGCTATACCTAAACACATACTTTAAGAGAAAAATGGTTGTTCATGTGAGGCGATAATAGAAGGTAATCCAGACATCACTACTTGGCGAAATTCGCATTTAGAACAAAATTAAGTAGAATCGTCATGGTACGTCAACATACGCTCGTCACGTTTATTTGGAAGATCAGCACAGTAGTGGGACTAGGAATCGGTTTGCATGAAAATGATGGAAGCGCAGCAACGCACATCGTCCTCGACTCGTCCGCAGTTTTCAGCATGTGGAAGAACTTTGTAAGAACAGTTGCCTAGCCAGTAACAATAGAGGCAGGCAAACTTTCCGCCATAACACTCTTTTGCAAAAATAGAACAAGGTACCACACAAGAGAACTGCTTCCATTCCTGTTCTACTAAAGCAAGTGAAGTTCATTCAACACCTGAGATCACCGACGGAATCGAATGGAGGTTCTACAGGTATAGACTTAAGGAACTTGGTGATTGAAGAGATTGAAAAACTGAGACACTCGGAAATTAGACTTTGGGAAATAAAGGAGACACTTTTGATACATCACTCTATATACTGCGACAAAGTTGTTACACAACAAACAAAAGAGAGGTGGTAACTCACACCTGTTAAAATGTTAAGTCGAAGAAAAGTAGAAATGCAGATACTGCAAAAGAAATCATTGGGCTGAGCTAAGGTGTTTATTTATCAATGTGCTCGCCAAAAATCAAGCATTTGAAGATTATCCGGAAGCTCTACTCGATGATGTGGGAGAAGCATGTGGCGCAAAGATTAGAGGTGTCGTGCAATATACATATCGTCCGTCATTCGTTCGATCCGGCGCTGCGCAATCATCGTGCCTTCCATTACTCTGTTCGGCGAGTTAGTACCAGACTTGTCTGGGAGGACAGCAGTACTGACTTAATACAACAATGGGCTACCGAAAGCTACTGTATAAGCCAAATTTGCATTTAATTACCTCTGACGATGCTTGATGAAATGGCATATCTTTCAGGGATTGATCCATGCCGTATGCTCTATCCTTTATATCTTATTCGATGATAAAAATTTGAAAATTCAAGAACATCTGGCTATATTGGCCACGAACACGTTTACCGTACACCACATTTGTTTTGCTAACAAGAGTCAAAATCGGTAAGTATGGATGCTTTGAAAAGTACTTCGTACAAAGTACATTTAGAGGAGTCGTGAATTCCCAAAAGCAAAACGGGGAACACCCTACGAACACTTGTGCCTCAATAACAGAATAAAAAGAAAACCAGTGCAAAACTAGCTACACTAATTTCACATTTAAGAGATGATGATCCGAATATGTGGAAAGAATATTCTCGATAAAAGGATAAAGCTTTACGTTGATCAATACCTGGGGACGCGCCATGCATTTGACTCTACTAGGCATCGCTGGAGTTGACTGAATGCATATTTAGGCTTTACAATAACTCGCTGTGGCCTGTCGATGTATCGAGCCAGTGCTGCTATCCGCCCAGACAAGTCTGGTACCGAGTTGTCGAACCCGGTGGAATGGAGGGCTTACCGGGCGAAGGACGTGAGGATCGATCTCATGTGTATTTCAGGGTGCCTCCGACAACTGCACTACAGGCGCACCATCGATACAGCACAAGATTCCTGCGATTCATCAACAAATTTGCAACCAGGTGATTGAAGCGATTCATGTGTCAGTTGACAAGGAAGTGGCCATGGATGAGAACTGTGGTAGGATATAGTTCATAACGAAAGCAAAAATCATCAACAATGACATACTTGTTTTAAAAAAGAGAGGGAAATAAATATAGAGGTATATAAACTACAATGAGTAGCTACACTTTTATAAAATAAAAAGACATAACATTTCTAAAACTCTTCATTCAAAATTAAAAACTCATTGCAACAACCCATAAAACATGTAAACCATTCCTTGATCAACAGATGATTGGAAGAATTAAGTGAAAGTAAGAAATGAAGTTCATTGGATTGCAGAAAGGGTTTTTCTTAATGACAATGGGGTTAATGACAAGCTCTATAAAATAGGAGAACCCGATTACTACCTTACTTCAGGGTTTTACATTCCCAACCGTCGTAAAACCGATGTTGGTTCTCAGATAGGGTTATTTCAACGAAGAATTATGTAGAAAGCATCGATTTCATAGTGAGTAGATATGAAAAATTTTTATCCTACCCTAACCCAAAGATAAATAATGATTATGTCCAAATGGTCCAGGAAACAAGTAAGACATAACATAGTTGGTGGGTAACAGGATAACATCGAACTGATAATAAACGCAGACCTCAACGTAATTGTCTAGCGACCCTTAGACCACCACGATATAGCAAAAATCCTAGTGCTCCCCAAAACGTAGCACAAAACGCAAATTTGATTACCTGAAAGCATAACATGTGGAATTTCTCAACTAAAACGATGACGAAGAACCTAATAGATTTGAAAATCCAAAAACTGATGCAGATCTTTGATGCAACGGTATTTCTTTGGATATTTAACCAGAATCCTCCCAACGGTTTGTCGCCTCATCGTGGCTGGGAGGTGTTCCTGGGTGTCGCGCTGCGATGTACAGCGGGGGGATTCATCTCCCCAGCAGACTCTCCCAAACTAAAGTATACACCAATACCAGGATCCACCACCGTCCTCAGGTCAAATTAGTCGCATGGGGTCAAATCTCTCTCTGATCCACAAGTACGGCAACTGCATGTAGTGGTGACGACCTGAGGCAGATTTTGCCCAAACTGACCTCGGAACTCCAGGAAAACTATGGCGAAACCTGCAAAACCCCAAAAAAGTGGAAAACGTGCTGGGGCCCGAACAACAGCGAGGATGGATCGTCCAAGTATTCAAATATTTGACTAGAATAAAACTTCTCTCACAAGATGATAAGTAATTAGTAGCACTGGTAGTACCCACTTTTGCCGACATAGATGGTGGTGGTATGTGTAAAAGAGGAGAAATATCCACAGGATTGTTCCAGTGAGCGACAATTCCTGGAGTATGGCCAATTCCAACAACAGCTACAACCTAAATTGAACAATAAGTACGTCAAATGACGTCAAAAAACAGAATATGAATTACTTTTCCTAATAAGTTTTTTCCTTTTCCTAAAATGTACAGCTTCTTCTTCATTGTGATTGATGAAGAAATGACACTTACTATAAGAGGTTGCCATTCAGCCTCAATCCGCTCCCAAGATACCCGTTTTTCAAAGGTATTCTTCTGAAGTAGGGAATGAAGGGCATGAGTCATATATGCATCACGTTCGTCCACAAAAATCTGGAATAAACAGAAGAAGATATGAAAGGAAATCGAATTAATAGTGTGCTGTAGCTCGCCTTGCTAAGTTTGGGGAAGTCACCTGCCATTTCTGCCAGTAGCTGCTCTAGTAGATCTCGTTGCTTACATTTTTCGACCTAAATGTACTCTAGCAATGTCTTTAATCATATTACTATTGCATATAGTCAAGGAGGGCTACAAGTACCTCTTCATGTGTTATTGATGCACCATGGGACATTGCAATGTGCCAGAAGAACTTGATTTTCTGCCAAAAGTTGAGCGATCCTAGGGCGCGTTGAAGAGTAATTTGAATGGGTCGGTCCCCTAATACGAGACGACAGAGCTTCAAAAATTGAAATTTCAAAAAGTACATACCTTCGTAACAAAAGTCTAAAGCTTTAGTAAGTTATGCAAGAATGCGCCATGAATAGCTAACAAGCAAGAAAAACAGTACAACCACAACGCCTTAGCTACCGAATCTAAGCTTAGACGAAGTAAACGATAAAACATAAAATGAAAAATAACCTGTGTCTGCATAGCCGCCTTGTGCGCAGCGCGAAATTCACCACCTGGGGCCATGGATAACTCCCTCGTAATGTGAGCCGACATGGAGAGTAGCAATACATGCAATATCCCTTGCACGACCCCACTCTGGAAATAAATTGTTGTGAAAAGAAATAACTTACTTATCTACTTGGATACTTGGACAACCCGTCATCACTGGTTGAGCGGGCCTCAGCATAATTTCCAATTTTCGCAAGTCATCAGTACCACAATCAGTCACCGCCCTCTTGGATTGGAGAGGATTCGCCACCATGCGACTACTAGTGTGATACCAAGACCATGGTGGATCCTGATACTAGTTTCCTCTTAGGTGGATGGAAACTCTGGACTCTCTCGCAGTTTAGGAGATCCTGCTGAGGTGACGAATCACTCCGCTGTACATCGCAGCCCGAGACCCAGGATCAGCTCCCAGCCACGATGAGGCGGTGAACCATAGGGAGAAGAAAGGCGTAATTGACTCATTCTCTTCTTACATATGGCTATGAAAAAAAATAACAAAGAAATAAACTCCATATAAAGAGAGTATAAATTCTGTAGTACGTGGAAGCACCTGTTTGATTGTTGTCAGTATTTTCTGCGTGTTTAGCTCGCTAGCTTCTCTCAATAAAGTTTGCTCATCCATTGATAAAATAGATATTCTGCTTGGACACAATTCCACCATAACTAAGTCTGGCTGAGTAGCAGCGATAGTTCTCATAACATCTTCTTGTGACTCCTTACTGAATGAAAAAAAGTTACAATTGGCAAGGTATTTGAAGATTAACGAAAATGGTTGAAAACAAAATACCACCTGAAATGGGCGGTCCCAATAAGATAAACTGTAGCCTCTTCAAATGCCTTCTTCCAACTCAATTGGTTGATTCCTTCAGGACAGGCGGGAATCATTAAACTTTTCGGGTATTTCAAAACTGTCACTGGAATAACTGATCAATTATAACAAGCACATGAAACATGGCATCCACAGATGGTTATAGAAAACCTGTATCCTTAGGTATTTCCAAATTCTGCGGTCGTTTGCGATCAAACATCCAACCATTGAATATTCTGCTCTAAACATGTAATACAGCGAAGTGCATGAAAACGTAAATATATGTGTTACGGATTAAAAGGCATCATTTTACTTGAAGGTCAAGTGCTTGGCCATTTTCAGTCTCGACGGTCTCGATTTCATCAAACTCTTCGCCAACATGCTCATCAAAATTGCTTGCGGAATCGGCTAACGAAATCACGGATTGATCAGCAGTGTCGCCTGCACCTGACAGAAATAAGACTCCGTACAGATTACTTTCTTCTTTTCATGTTCCATAAATGATAATGAATAGCCAAAGCACGCAGTTCTCAGTAAAAAAAAAAAGGATATAGCTCTCAGCGTTGATCAGTTCCTGAAAACGCACCATACATTCGACTTCATTAAGCATATTTGGAAGTGAATGAATACATAACTAGCCATTATAATGACCCGAGGTGGCCACCGATGTAGCGAACCAGCGCTGCTTTCCTCCCAGATAAATTTGGTACCAATTTGCTGATCCCGGTGGGATGGAAAGCCTGGTGTGCATAACGAGCGGGGATTGATCCCATGTATATTGCAGAGCGCCTCCGAGCACTGCGGTACACGTGCTCTTTTCTCAATCAGCAAAGTAAATGAACTGATTTAACCAATAAAACGCCTCTACAGAACAAAAAGTATATAGATGAAAACAATTTACGCGAATTGTATTTCAGATCATACCTTGCCATAAAAAAAGAATAAGCAGTAAATAAAAAGTGGTTACATTGTGACTTATACTACAGCTTCAGCTTAACTGGGTTCGATGACGATTTGTGCTACCCAGATCAATTCTGTTGATGAATGATTGCTGATGGCATTGGTAGATAGAAAAACGGCTGAGAAAAAGGTGAAACGAAGGAACCGCATCGTGTGATGGTGAACAGGCTACCCTCCGGAAAGGGTTTTAACGTGGTTTGATCCCTGTCGAAGACACCTGCGACCCGGAGTTTTGCAAATATCTTAGCGTCATTGTAACCACGGGAACTGTATTAGACTGTCCGGTAAACTTCCAACGTTTGCGATACCCAAATAAGTGGCTACTTTCAACTTCAACTAACAAGACTCTTAATAACTCAACAGGTCGATTTTCTATGAGCCTCGGTATAAAAATCGATACATCTATAATACGTTCTCACGAACTGCCCTTATTAAGTTGACGGGATGTTGGTATAGATCTTTAGCCAATGAATAACGACAACAACAACAATAAGAAGGTCTATACCAACTCCGCGTCAGCTGAAAAAGGGCAGTTCGTAAGAATATATATGTAACAAAACTCGGCTGATTGCAAGTTTTACTCGACGAAGTAGGAACAAGTAGAATTCACCTAACAAGAAAGTTTCCCTACTCTACGAAAATGGAAGTTTGGTTTCCTGGAGATCAAAAAACCTATTCCGCGCTCCTTTCATTAAGGCTCATATTTCGAATAGCAAAGCAGTTGAGGAAGAGGGATTCCGCCCATCTGGGCATCATGGTGTTCACCAATATGCTGTTGCTGCTCGAGGCCGCTGTGTTTACTCTGGGGATATTAAAACCTAACTTTGTCCATTTTAGCTTTAGACACCTTTGAGGAGCAACGGTTCCTCTGTACGTCCTCGATATTCCAAACGAATCATCAGTTTTAATGATGAAGAAACTACCATTAGTGGTCTAAATACTAGCACGGATGAGAATGAATTGAATGCGGAGAACAAACCCGTATGTATAAAAATAAGATAAAACACCCACCTCGACGAAAGGAACCTGCTGAACTGGTAACGGCGGACTTGATGCGGAAAAGATCCTAAATATATCAGCAGCAATTAGGGAAAAAAAGAAAAAAATACTGGAGGATTAGCTCAGAACACGAAGAAACCAGAAACCAAATCGCAATCGAATCGATGGTAAAACCGAACTAACATCTAAGAAAAATATGAGGAGACGATAGAAACAATCATGTAACTCCTCACCTCTCCAGTCATTTCGTTCTCTTCCAGAGGGTTCGGTGGCGCAGATTGTGGATCGTGAGGAATATTGGAATCCGCGTCACCAGACCCATCATGGGACATGCTGGAAACCGGAATATCAGTGCAGGACTTTACTTCGAGCTATTGTCGGACGTCAAACAGAAAAAGAAGGAGAAACTGTCCGATGATTTCAAAGTGAGGAGTATTGACAATATCAGGATACCCTCAAGTATGAACTTAGTTCATACAAGTTTCATACTGGTTTCGTTAAAATCTTCGTCAGAATGTTAAGCAGTAATAACAAAGTAACTGAAACAAAACAACGTAAACACCCCTACATTTCTTGCAGCTTAGGTACAAACGCTTCTTAGTTCTTAGTACATTAACGACACAAACCGGAGAAATCTAAAGTCCATTCACTTTCTTTTAGAAAAGAAATGAAATTCTGTTTGGGAAACTGGAAATGCATGCAGCAACGGTGACGACGACAAGCAATGGTCCATTCTGGTCAGTGTTTGAGAGTTTCCTTCAGGAAGAGAAGTACCACTTTGACTAAGAGATTCTTACCGGCGCTACTGAATCTGGATTTGTTCGAAGGCAGGACTATCGGTCAATTGGATTCTCGCCGATGATCGATACACCTTCGCTTCTACGCATTCACAACGAGTACTTAAATGAATCAGGGATATATAAAGTCGATAACCTCCTAGTATATTCTACAAGGCATTCCTTAAGAGTTTAACTTATTTGTAACTGCAAACCCTAGGGACAAATACGCTTCTACAAGAAAACGCTTACCGTAAACCTATTTAGGCGTCGATCGTGTACGGTCTGTTCACTTCGCCCATGTGTCTTTTTTTACGGCAAATCAGGATCGTGTGGAGGTTCGTTGGCACCGGTTCCTAGTGGGCCGTTGGTCTATGGTGGTTTGTGGTCATCCATATTCCACTTCGATAAATCAGCTCACTGAGTTGAGCGGATAGTGAGCATGGGCTTAAAACCTCATAGAACTGCTCCAACCTGTTCTGAACCCATCGCCCATTTTCGAAAAAAGTACAAGTTCACCTGAGAATCGTGTTCTTCACAGGATGTTCTTCTTATGAAGACGAGATTTATCTACCTCGAACTACAGCGTCACCTTGGGCATCCTATCCAGACGGAAGTCGGCGACGTTTCCACGTAAAGCAGAAGACTCGAAATTACATCTCCGATTAGCACTGGATCCGACTATCACCGCTTCCGCGAAGAGGTCGGACTCAGTCGTAGCTCGAGATGCGATCACACGAGGTTTCAAGATATGTTCGAATAGCGACCAACTCTCACCTTTGGTTTAATCTAGCGGTTAGAAGCTAGGAGAAAACTCGCAGAACGCACTATTCCCGCAACGTAACTGACTCTCTATGGATCGTGGTATTTATTCATTGGATGACGACATCATGTAGGTAGATGGTATTCACCTTCATAAGGATAAAATGAAAGGATAAAACTCGGCGTTGATCAATACCTGTTGAATGTGTCATGCACTGGACTTCATTAAGCATCGTTGGAGATGAATGAATGCATATCTGACTCTTACAAACACGCTCAGTGGCCTACCGATGTATCGAGCTGGTGCTGCTATCCTCCGAGACAAGTCTGGTACCAATTTGCCCACCCTGCAGGGATGGAAGGCTGGGTGGGCATAGGAAGCGGGGATCATCCCATTTGCATTTCAGAGCGCCTCCGACCACTGCGCTGCAAGCGCCTGTACCTTCATAGGAATTTCGGTGTTCATCCACTATGTTGAAGTTTACTATCTGATTTCTTGACAGGGATCGGCTTGTCGTATCGCAAACGATCGGTTCGTTGCAGAAATTACTGATGCCAAAGGAGTCGCTTTTGATCTGAAAAAATTCTGATTTCAAGATAGCAAACACAATTCCGACTGACAAGGTTTCGACCAGCATTTGAATTGCGAGAAATAAAAGGCTTAGGTGATCTTCAATGCAGAGTCGAATCCCTACAGGATTTTAGCCACCTACATAGGTAACACCTGGCTACTAAATGAATGGTAGAAGGGCTTGGGTCCGTAAAGTGCACTAGCATTTTTTCTTTTTATTTCCAGGACCTATCTTTCACACATCTCTGTGCATCTCAACACTTCTCGCATTTGATTCGTATCCTCATATCCGTCATCCACCAAGGTCCTCCAACTTTCTATGTGCGGCTTCCGATGTTACTTGAAGGTTTTCCTCTCATCTTGAATGTTGTAGAATGCTAATCGAGTCGATTCTCGCTGCAGTCCTAAGGTAGCCGAGCTATAGCATTCCCACTGAGATTGCAGAGAGTGGAGCTTTCCTGGACAAGTCCGGCACCAATTTCTCGCCCCTGGATGGACGATAGGCTCGGTGATCCCGAAGCGGGATCAAACACATTGGAGTGAACGATCTAATTATAAATTCCATTGTTTCGTTAGAGTTTCCTTACCGATATCCTCTTATACATCCAACATCATTTCAGTTATAGAGCATTCATGATTGAGCAAATCAGAACGAATAACAATCACTTATGGGAGGAGAGTGATAGCGAAATTAGGTTATTTACTTTGTAGTATTTAGAAACAAGCAAGCCTATGAGGTTGTCTCATTTCATACTCCTAACGTCGTCGTCGGTGGTGGTGGTGATGAATGTTGCGGAATCATCGTTGTATCTTCAGGGAATTCAAGACCAGATAGGATACATTTCGAGAACTACTATTTAGACACAATGTTTAACTTTTATACCTAACCGTACCTATCTGCTCGTTAGAGTGAACAAATGGCTGAGAGAAAGGCAAAGCAAGGGCCTGGGTAATGCAATGAGTAACACATGAACTCCTGGAAAGTGTAATCGCGGGTTCGAAACTCGCGGTGTTCGGAGTCTTGCAAATATCTCAGCACCATGTTGTGGGTATTATTCAAGGAATCAAAGGTCTTCTTCGCCTTAGCGAGAAATTAACTCTGAATTTTTTTTTCGTTGATAAATTTGCCTACTTTCATCAAAATGTGCCTTGGTACAACATCTTTGGAGATAACCTGCATCACTTATCTTCTTACTGATCGTTGAGAGATCCAAGGAGGCGCAGCAAAATGATTGCTAGTAGCTGTATAAATGTTGCCGTTGCTCAGTGGACTAAGCCATCCCGAGAAGAACGAAGAGTTTATTCTAAGTCCAAGGTCCTCGTGGAAAATCTGACCAGATTCTCGCTGAATGCTTGACTTTCTGAAGCTCCGACGGTAGGAATTGA